GCATGACTCAGTAGGGAAGATCCTGCATCAAGAGATAGCTATTAAACTGGGACTTCTACAAACAAACCATCTCCCATATTATCAATACGTTCCAGAGAGTATGCTTGAGAATAACAACTACAAGCTATACTGGGATCGTACTGTGCTCACAGACCAAACCGTAGCACATAATAGACCAGATCTCGTGCTAGTTAATAAACTAACAAGACAAACAACTCTAATCGATGTGGCGATACCTAACAACAATAATCTGCGTGTTAAGTACAACGAAAAGATGGCCAAGTACAGAGATCTGGAAATACAAATAAGAAGACAATGGAGAATGGAAAGTACCCAGACGATACCGATTATTCTTTCTACCACTGGAGTCATTCCGAAGAACCTCCTAGAAAATATAAAAAAGCTGGGTCTAAATGAACATCTATATAAGGTCATGCAGAAAGCTGTGCTACTTTCGACGTCTAGATGCGTGCGAAAATTTTTAGGAGATACACCGACGTACCAAGTCACCTAGGACTCGATAACATGGAAAGAGTCCCACCAGAGCTCAATCCTTTTGATACCGTAGGTATCTGGGATGAGTGAATTTTCCCCTTAGAGGGAGTGTGAGCCGTATGGCTAAATCTGGATGAATATTAAATATATTTACAAAAGTAACATTTTTATTCTCTAAAGCGAAAGACAGAAAATTTCCAACGTCGAACGCGCGTATAGAAATATAACTTCAAAAAATGTTTGTGGAAGATAAAAATAAAAAACCAACAACTCGGATTATGTTGTAAATTTTTATTTTATTTTAAGATTTAGCATTTTTGCGTATATTACATATATTTAATAAGATTAACGTGGGGTTTTTAAATTCCACAAGGAATCTACGTTCCTGTAGTTGGCTGTATACCATGTATTAAAAATTTAATTAAAAATCCTTTGTAATGGGTATATATTTTAGGCCCACACGGGCTAAGTTAAAAAGACAAAACGTTTTCGGAAACCATGTTCCATCATCAGTGTCTAGGAGTACATGAATGTAGCCACCAAGATTAAATATGTGGGTAAAAACCCGATAACAGATGTTTAATTACATTTAGTTTTAAAATTATGTTATAATGATTTAGGATTATAGAGTTACCGATGGATTAGGTAACATGGCGACATATGACTCCACGTTGAAGTTGCTATATGAGTGTTGCTGTATGAGTGCAACTCATACAGTCCTCGAAGACATACCGTCTCAGGACTAGCAACTTCAACGTGGAGTCATATGTCGCCATGTTACCTAATCCATCGGTAACTCTATAATCCTAAATCATTATAACATAATTTTAAAACTAAATGTAATTAAACATCTGTTATCGGGTTTTTACCCACATATTTAATCTTGGTGGCTACATTCATGTACTCCTAGACACTGATGATGGAACATGGTTTCCGAAAACGTTTTGTCTTTTTAACTTAGCCCGTTTGGGCCTAAAATATATACCTATTACAAAGGATTTTTAATTAAAAGGGTTTTTAAATATTTCAAAAATAAAAAAGGAAATTCATATTGGGATTCGAACTCACATACACCAGTGTATGAACAAAACACGTAAAAAATTCGCCAATTAGACATGACACTAACGGATTTCAAAATTGACAGTTCTATGTCGTTCAGTGATTTATTATTATTTTGAAATACAAAAGTCTAAAATAATTATGAACATTTAATAAATAATACAAAACATATCACATAAATAATAATATTAATTTATATTATATTTATATATAATATTAAATATATATACAAAAGGAACATGTTTATTCTCGAGAGAGGAAGAGAGAGAAAATATATGTTCTGTCACTCTCTCGTACTCATATCTTACATATGTAATGGTTTCACCAATTCACCCCCGTACAAATTTCCAACGTCGAGCGCGCGTATAGAAGTATAACTTCAAAACAAATTAATTCCCATTACTTACTGTTCTGTCGCTGTCTGCTAGATTATTAAATTATTTAAATTTTTCTCTAATCGGTGACAGTTTGTTTTCTGACGTTTTGATATTATATTTGACATAGTTTATAGAACAGTAGCAACGGGAAATTTTGGGTAACATGATAGAACTAAAAATTAACTAAATACATTGTATACAAATAATAAATATTCGTAACACACTATGTATTAAAAAAGTGATATGTGAAATGTGAAAGCACATGGCATAGGACAGTCTTCAGTATATGCATGCCTAAATATAAAAAAATAGAAACACTATGTATTAAAAAAGTGATATGTGAAATTTGAAAGTACATGACATAGGACAGTATTCAGTATATGCATGCCTAAATATAAAAAAAAATAGAAACATATATCACTTTTCTAAAATATAGTAAACTACATTCATTTTACAAATTCCCAACTGTCAACAAACGCATGTGAAAGCCAAACAGGGTTGTACTGAGGTGTATCATATGATTTTTAAAAATATTTACTTTTGAAACTATTAGTGTAAGAATTTCTTGAAATTTAATCACTGTGAGCAAAATTTAATGTTCAGTAAAAGAAAAATGTGCTAAAATAAAATATTCATTAACTGAGATATGCATAACAAAGTGAACATTTTGAATAAAGTAGTATTGTCATAAGTTTATCAAAGCATTCGTCTGGATTTATTATTCTATAATCTATTCTATTTGTTGGATAATAGGTTCTCTATTATCCAACTTTTTTTTGTCCAATTTCCACATTTTGGAATTGAATTTTTGTCGAACGTGTTGCACACATTTCTGCCACGTAGTTGGGCTAATATTATTTATTGCATCATAAAAAATATCTTAAAATTTACTTGAAGTGAAAAAGCACATAAACTTTTACCTGCAGGATAATTTAGCTATGTATATGCCAAATTTCATGTCAATCCAAGCGGTTCTTTAATATTTACAGCAAAAACTGTGAATAAATGGACTAAAAAGGAAATAAAACTTTTCGAAACATCAATAAATTAAAATATTTGTTTCTCTTACCTTTATTAAAGTGGTTACCGCAGGTTTTTACTTTTGACTAACAAATACTTTGTTTTTGGATACTAAAAGTTCACTACACCCCATAAATCTTAATACTAAACACTTGAACTAAACTCTAAAAAATAACACGACCAGTAAATAACTTAACAATAACTATAACATATAGCACTCAATATATTAACTTAAAAACCAACACGCTAAAAATACAATTTGGATTTAAACAGACTGGTAAGTTTGGACCTGTTAAATGAGAATCCGTCTGGCCCAAGGCTATAAATTATATTTAATAGCCTCTTGACGAATAAGAGGGCGATTATCAACACATGCATTTGTTTACAGTTGGGAATTTGCTGAACAAATGTACCATAGTTAAAAATTATTGAAGACCAATATTTTATTAGACACAAGGTAGAGTTTCTAAGGAATATTATGGTGTGAAAATCTGCACTTAAGATGGGAAAACATTTGGAGAAGAAAAAATTAATTGATGAAAAGGAACCATTTATTCAATTCTTCTTAAACAATTTCCTAAACATTAAGTTTTGCTTGTTTTTGAATTTACTCCTTAAGCTGTGTTGACATTGACATCAGTTGTGAATAATTAGTGAAATAATTATGATCCTGAGAAGATCAAACCTGTTTAATTTTCGGATCCTGCAGTCAGTGGTGAGTAGTACAGGGTCAAGGTCAATATCCACTTTAAGTTATGTTCTATGCTATGTGTTTATAATAAGTATTGAGTTTCCTTTCCTATCTTTATTTTGTTTATTTGGATTTGGTCACAGTGTGAATACTGCAAAATTATAATGAAAAATAGTAACACCAAAAATCAATCTTTAGTTGCGTTTTAATAAAATTAATAAAGAGCAATATTGCTGCCAATTTTGCTTAAAAGTTTAAAAAACATCAGGATATACCTACAATTTGTATGTTCACAACAAAACATGCAGTAGCTTTTATTCAAGTCAGCAAAAGGAAAGGCAGTGAGATATGAGCAAGAGTGAAGGCCATGCATCGAAAAGCAAGTGGATGATGAAGACAAAACTGAGAATGTAGATGTATGTAATACCGCAATACTGCGTTTGAGTACTTTTTTATAATAGCATTACAAACTGCGTACGAAACTTCTATAAATTTACTTATGGATGATTTGGGGACTTTAAATATTCTAAACTTTTAAAAGAGTGTCCAGTAGCTAAATATTGAACTGTTATTTTCAATTTCATTTTTACTGATAGAGCCTCTCTTAGTATATTAGTATTTTTTTTGAATTTTGGAGTTAAAAAGTTTCAATACATATTGAAGATGGTGTTCCGACATTTTAAGCAAATTTTTAAAATCTTCAGGGTACTTAAATATGTCTTAATTAGTATGATTTTTTTGTTGAACTCCCTTCTAAACCATTGTCTTTTCTTTTCTTGTCTTTTTATTGCAGTGTAAACTCTCTTCATGAAAAAGGCATGCTCATAGTTGTGAAGATATTAAGATTCGTGTACCATAAGTGTGACTTTTGCTCGTTATTCACTTCCCATGTCAATGTAGCTTTAAAGTTTGTTATAAATGATATATAGTTTCTAACAAGCTTAAATATGTTCCTTTTTAGTGGAAAATTTTTAATATTTATCTGTGAGGGTTCTTTAAAGACATGCGAAGTAAAAGTGTATATACTGTATATTACTAAATTACTAAAAAATGTAGATTTGTATTGTGATCTAATGTGACCAGAATTCTGTTTTTAAAAAGTAAATATATTTGAAATAATTTCGTCTTAAACACTCTTATATGGCATGCACATAATTTTTTTATTAAATAAAATAAGAAACTATTTAATTAGAAAAGAAACTAAAATAATAATATGTAATATTTGATGTCCAAATCTGTATTTATGTTCTTCTAAATAATATCTTCTAAAATCATTTAACATGAACTAACTTCATAAAACTTGCACTAAATTTCTTGCCATGTCTTAATGTTATGTTACATTGTACTTTTTACTGCAGACGTAGAAAATGTATCCACAGAAGAACATAAAGAAGAAGATCCCCCTGAGGATGCCACAAAAGCTAATATTAGATTTGAAGATATGTTAAACCCCAGTGAACCAATGCTCAAAATAATTTATCATCCAAAGCAATTTACTAATATTCAAAACTGTCAGAAATTTTTAAAGGCAGACGTTCCTACAAAAGCAATGATGTTATATAGCTACCACACTAACATGGAAAGATTAAGATCCAAGTTAGCTAGGCAATCATTTTGTACAGTTGCTATGCCTAAACCCATTATTTTGAAGGAACAAGTGATCCCTTCCCTCGAAAGGGATGATGACTTTGAGGATACTTATATTAGTAGGTATGTATTATTTTTATTTATCATAATAACTGGTAAGAGAACTTGTAATAGTTATCAAGTGATATCAAATAGTGTATTCACTGTACTTATATTAAAGTCTAACAAGATATCTAAGAGAGTCATGAATATTACGCTCAGTGGAGTGCTAATTTTCTGTAAGAACTTCCAAAAACAAAGGATCTACCTGTTTTATGAAATGACCTTATGTAATTTTACACCTCTAACAATATTATCTCACTGAGCTGAATATTCATGATTCTCTTAGATATTTTCACTCTACATAAGTTTATCACACAATGATATTAAAAAATGATCTTCATATTCTAATAATTGTATATTTACTTATATTAACCCTACTGAATACAGAAGGGAATACATAAAATAAAGTCAGTATAAAAAATCATGGTTTTAGTTATAACTTTTGGTCCCTGAACAAACTAGGTAGGCATATAATTATAAAATATTTTGTCACTTTTTTTATCATTTATGTTTTTATTATTTTTATATATGCTATCAGCTAGAGTTTACAATTTGCCTCATTGATTTCTTGAATAATTTTTTTCTTTAAAACATTTTTAGGAAATTAGCTCTTCTGACATTCAGCTGACTTCTGGCTTATTCAAGATCCAGATTGAACTGTGTCAGACCAAGCCCATTATCTTGTTTTATACCTGTATCGATTTGAAAGCTTTCAGTTAGTTTATACTATATGTGGACATGTACTGTTGTCTATTGTTGCTTTTACTATTTGGATATAATGCAAGGTTTTGTTGAAGCTTCATATATTCTTATATATTATCTGCTGTGTCTTAATTAAGTTAGGTCTATGTGAAATCAAGGAATATAATATTATGAATATCAATATCATTTTATTAAGATTTATTTAAACTTTCTTTTAGAGTGAAAAGGTGTTTGATTGTATATAACTTCCTCGTTGAAAGCCATTTTCGTGTGCTTTAGATTAACGTTTAATAATTTAATTTAATTTCGTGTGATTTAGATAAGCCATTAAACACCCACTCGATGAGTGTTTATTGTAAGCCAAGCGCAAGAGGGTTATGCCACAATAATTTTTTCATTTCAGCTTGCTCCATTTTTTGTAGATGGGTGAATAATCCACATTTTCATGTAACAGGTAGAGGTAATGGATTTTATAAAGAGCTATGGCAGTGTAAATAGTTGTGTAGAACTAATTGGCAACTGGCAGGTTAAAGTAAAAACTTAACAAGTGTGACACATTTATGGTTCCATATGACAACCCAGGTGGCTTAAAAATAACATAAAAATTTAATTGCAAAATATAATTTAAACAATGAGATATTTAATTTAAGATTAATATTGTGTGATCATCAAATATAAAATTATAAATTTAATATATTTAATAAATATAGGTAAACTTCTAGTTAATTCTCAACCTTAACATTTACTGATTTGTTAAATATTTAAATCTAATGCCTCCATTGTCAGCAAATTAGCATATTACAATATTTTAATGACAATGTAAAATTAGCTCGAGACAGCTAAATTAGCTTTTACTTTCTATATGAATATTTCGTTTTTGGTAAAATTTTAATATCTACTCAAGTGGATTACAACCTAAGTCATTGTCATTTTCATTATCTGAAAATTCACTTTCACTGTCACTTATCCTCTCCTAAGGTTATAATTAATTCCTACACTTTACCCATAATATGTTCTTTTTCTACATATTCATTTTCTACTTTTGTGACATTAGCGCAAATGTTTTTTCAATGTTCTAAAGCAACTTCACTAATTTTTTTTCGGCTTTTGTTGCTTGTGCCTGATAAAAATATTTCTGTCAGCAAGAAACTTCAACAGTGCATCTATCTTCCAACAAAAATTTGAAATGGGTTCTAGGAGTACATTATGGTAAATGGCATTGTCTATTACCTATATGCTTTTTTCCAGAGCATTAGGGATGAATTTTTCTTTTAACCATTTTATAAAATTGGTGCCATTCACTTCGTCGTGGTAGTCTCCGCTTATTGTCCCCAATTTAAAAATGGTAAGTGCCCCAGGCACGAATTCTGCTTCACTTCCAGCATGAACAATAATAAGCCTTCGACCTTCAGCTACAGCTGATTTTAAACATTTATTTTGACCATCGTCCCATGCTTTTGGTACAGTATGTGAACCACGAATATATGTTTAATCGCAATATATAATCGACCGCGGCCGTCTCTAGTCTGTTTGGTTTTAATACACTTAAATATTCAATTCTTTTTAATTTTATATCATATTTCTCTATTAAAACTTTCCTGTTATCTACAGTTTTTGTCCATCTAAATCCTATTTTTTTTAACTACTTTTTTAAACGCGTCTATTTCACCAATCAAATTTACCTCATCCTCAGTCTTTACTTCTTCAAAAATTCTTTTCATTGTAGATCTTATTTTGTAAATTGCAGTGTAAGAATAAATAATTCTTGGAATTATTTCCTCTTTAAACTCATTACCGGCCCCTTTGGAGGTTAATGATTTGTTACTAGTTTTTGGAGGTGATTAAAAGCATTCACTAGGAGATTTTTTATATGATTCTTGGATAATTCGATAAAACCAAGTCGACAGAAACATGACAAGCTTTGGCCACTCTTTCCTGCAAATTCTTCATGGGAGTTGTTAGGAATTCTTTGTCTTTTTTTTCATAAACTGATATACACTGTATATAATTTGTTGACCTTGGCGATGAATATCTTTTCTGGAACTACTCATGTTTTCATTTTTTTTAACAACATAAATTAAATATTAGTTAACACATGGATTTATTAAGTAAAGCTATAATTTTTTTTGTTCAGATTTTTTATACCATTTAAAAACAACGTTTTTAATATTAAAGTTAGCAAAATACCATAAATCAAATTGTAATTTATTAAAAATGTAATAAAATAAATACATACCTTACTTTCCAAAAAATTATTTCACTGTACAAGATATTTTCAAAAATTATTGTCCATAAAAGTCACCAAACTAACAATTAAAACCAAAAACTATAATAATTAATTAAAAAAGAAACAAATTTTACTGCACTATTAAAAGATTTGTAGTACAAACAATCTGTACAAGAAACAGCAGTAGAAAAACTGTCAAGTAATGAAATTTAACGGCTGAAACTTTTAGAATGATTATAAGTATTGTGTTGTTAGTCAATACGACTCACCTCTTTAGAAATCCATTACCTCTAGCTCTGTTAGACACCAGAGTTAGTAAAACACGAGTTTAATTGAAATAAAAATATATTCGAAATAAATAAATAAAATAAAATTAACTTCATACAATATATACAGCTGCGGCCACTGAATGGTTTACACACTCATTTTTACATTGTACTATTGTAAAATACGGATTTGCTAAATGTCAAAGTGCTTGTCAAAAATTTCGCACATATTGAGAAATAAAATAAAAAGTTATTAAACGCGTTCAAAATACCTAGAATGCATTTCAATCACGCGCAACAAACAAGAGCAATTGCTAAATTCGAATAAAAGCAAAAACTTCTTTCTATAATTTTGTTACATTTTGTAAATTAGATATATTTTATTTTGGTTTTTTTAATTTTAAGCAACTTATTCTGTCCGGGTCTGCTACTGGTAACGTCACTTTAACATAAAATGTGCGTTTAAACGAGGTAAAAATTTAAAAACTCAGCTATTAGATATGCATGGGTGTAAACTATTCAATGACTGCAGCTGTACAATAAAAAATAAAATACCAATCCTGGAGAATTAACGAGAATTGAAAAAAGTACCAATGATATGTTGGTCAGTACCCAAACATCGAGGAGAAAAAGTAATCACTACTGATTCTGTGTTAGAGCTGGCGGAATCAGTATTTGGCGCGGGACGGGTGATCGAATCGATCAATGCTCGATCCGGTAAGGAAAGGGGAATGACCAATCAATATTTGATCATTTGGAGATGCTTTGGCCTTCGGCCAATACTCAAGGGCCCGGTGAAGTTCTTATCGAATGGTGGTGGTAGGTATCGGCAGATGTCCGTGCATACATAGGGGTGGCAAGCCGGTGGTGAACGCTGGTGATGCACATCGTTACAAATGCTAGAAATTTTCTTTTCTATATTTTGATGTCTTAGCTATTAATTTATGAATTTGCTCGGTTAGGTTTTGGCTATCATAATTGAATAGTTCAGATTTTGATTCTAATTGTTTTGCTCGTACCTTTGGGTTGGGGGTACAATCTCATCCCATCCTTCTACATATATTATGTCTCGTGTGTATTTTATGATCATGGATTATGATATTATGTCTCTTAAATTTCCGACATTTTAATATGCTTCTCTTAGATTGTTACTTTGAAGGTTCTGTTTCATTTTGTAGATCTTATTACTTTTGAATTTTCCTTTTTGGCTTTTCCATATTTTATTTCCCCCAATTGTGAAAAATTTGTTCTTCTTTTTATATTTTTCTTTTCTACATTTCTAGTGCGCTTAATTTTTTTCGTGTTTGGCCGATATAAATATGTTTTTCATAGTACCTCATTATGTGCCTTTCTTTTTCTGCTTTTGTCTATGTTTTTTGTTGTCGCCTTTAAAATCTTTTCAATGTCCTTTGCAACTTGGGTTGTTTTTGTTTTTGCTGAAAATTTTACTTTTCTTTTAGGATGTTTATGAAATGTCAAATTTTCAAAAAAATGTCAAAATTTTTGACTAAACATTTTTTACCTATAACTATGCAGTAACATGATAAAGAAGTGTCAAAGATGAACATGGTAACTCAGCAAACCAAACATTTAGCTATCATAATTTTGTTCAAAGTTTTTATTTGTCAACAGTGTATTTTAATGTGTATAGAAACCACACCATTTCAATATTAATGTAGTTCCTTACTTACGTTTTGTGGTTACAGTTTATATACTTATAGTAGACCTATGTAATTGAGACTGTCTTAGTAGTTGTTTATTTTGAATTATCTTTGTTTGGTAATAGTTGAAGCTTTTTTATTTAAAATTAGTAATTTCTTGTGAATTTGTTGTAGATCTGGCCGCCAAACAAAACGAAAATGCTACTATACTGATGATGAAAATGTCCTGGAAGAAAAAACCCTAAATTCATCTAATAAAAAACAAAAGTCCAAGAATGAGGATGAACAGGAGTGGGTTTCAAAAACAAAATCAGCTAGCAAAACAGTGGCCAAGAAATTAGATTTAACACCAAAGTTAGATTCTCAGAAATTCATGGAGATTGAACCAGTCGAAGGTAACTTGTAAATATAATTTATTATTACAAAAATCTTTCAAAAAAGTAATTTTCATCAATATATTAGCCGACCCAACAGAAAAAAATATTTTAACAACATAGTGTTTATGTGTACACTTTTTGATATACAATATTTTTAGTTCTGTTTTCTGGTGCCTAAAAAAAATTATTTTTGTGACACGGGAACAGGTGACATACCATTGGCCATGCGAAAAATATGGATTTTCAAAATTGATACTAACAACACTTAACGACTACCCTTGCGATTTATTTATCGACATTGCCAATGTAAGGCACACTGGAAATTGTAACCCTTTAAACTCGACGTAACCAGATGCCGAATAGCATGTTGTTCAAAATCATAGGGATGGTGCTGTTACAAAGACGTGGCTAGTTTATATGGCTCAACATAATGATTATCTGACTTTTAAGTACAGATTATAAAGTAGTAGATAACATAATCTTGGTTGGTAACAGAACCAACCGATTTTTATGTCATCAATTTACCAGCTATTTTTTTTACCAGCTATTTGAATCTGAAAATTAATTGCATTGACATCAAAGCTTTTGCAGCTCATATAACAGATTCACTCACATTTAGCAAATTTCAACTCTTGTTTGTTTTTGGTAAGTTTCTCTAGCGGAACTATCAGAAGTAAAATAACAAAACACTTACGGTGAATTGTGGGTTTGTTTAACTATGCCCACTGACTGCAATATATACAGATTCTTCAGGAAATACATAATATATAAGAATAATATATAACAGGATCTGGCAATATAAAAATTGTGCTTATTGTCTTTCGAAAGTTTCTCTAAATTCTAAAACTTTAAAATATTCTATAATTTAGAGTATGCCTTCTCGTTCGAAGGTCTTAAGTGTTTCTCTTTCGAATATTTGCGAGATATTACTTAAAACCTTATACATCATGGGAAAATAAAAATGCTACAATGACAATCACTCAGTTTCAACTTTGACATACATATCCACAGCATATTGCTGAAATAGACGCCAACATTTTAAGATGTCATTGTACCCACTTTTCTGAATCATTAACTTGTATGAATAATAGTTAATTGAACTAACTTTGTTAAAGATAAAGTAACATTGTGATTAAGATAGTACACGTAGATTGGTTACTTACCTGTAACTGGATCGATCACCTTAATTGAAAAATGATACCGATCTGCACCTTGCCAAACTAAAATAGGATTTTGCAACACATCACATGATCAATGTGCTTCGGACACACGCTGCAGTTGATCGTTACGCCGATGTAATACATTGACCCTGAATCTGCAAGAGTTAATATAAGTATTAATAAATAGTAATATAGGTAATTATATAGTCATCTTTTACCGCCATGTGGCTGACAAAATACGTTAGCAGCACTGCCATTGCTTGGGTATTTTAGCTATTGCTATTAGACACCAGATTTAGTAAAACACAAATAAAAATATATTTGAATAAATAACAAACAAAATAAAATTTACTATATAATACGTAAAATAAAATGCTAGCGGCGTTCGGATGGATAGGACGAAGGAAGATCTTTAGTCAATACTCAAAGACCGGGGATCGGCCGATTAATACTCGGACCAGGCGAGGTACTTAAGGAAATACTCAATCGCATTTAGAGACGGGAAAGGACGGTGGACTCAGATCAGTATTTAGAGACCGGGATAGAAGATCTTGTCAGATCAATACTCCGGATCGAACTTAGTTCTCGTCGTTCTTCGTGGTATTTTATACTTTTACCCTGCAATTTTTAATCTATTTTGCTGATTTTCTTATCTGCATCTCTTTTTCTAACAACTTACAAAAGGAAACCTTTCTAGCTACTATAATAATTTAGAGATACAAAAAATTATGACATTTCTTTTATCTCTGGGAAAATGTACCATTCTTATTTGATCCTAAAAATATTCTTTGAACTATTTGTCCCAACACAAGAATTTTATCTATAGGTTATTTTGGTTGAATTTACATGTAAAGCAACACATTTCTACAGAAAAGATCTTTTGCTGAGAGATTCTTGTTTGTTGTTTATGTCTAAAAATTAATAATGACTTCTATTTATTTACAAAACAGAACAGTTCTCTATTATATGGAGTTTTTTGAAATTATTTATTTTTGTGAAATTTTTGTAGTTTAAAATACATTTAATAATTGTTTTCAAAAGAAAAGAGTTTAAGGTAGATTTTCTATATATTTGCACTCGAAAGTGGATAGGTTTTATTTTAAAATACTTAAAAAACTTTGGTTTATGCACTAGCATATGCCATATTCGTTTTGCACTAATTTTGTTGCAAAATTGAAAATATGGATAGAGTTTTATCTATACTCTTGTCTTCTTTAATCAATTTATTTCTAATCACTTTTGTAAATTTTCAGATGAGAAAAAAGAGGTTCAAAATGATGATAAGAAGGAAGCAGCTAAGCCCAAGTCAAAGAAACTTACAAATACGGAAATTATGAATAGGTCATCTTTATTTGCAGAGCCTCCCAAAAGAAGGCAAGTATATTTCGTCTCACCTTACTAGCAATTTCCAAAACTTCCATAGCATTAATTAGTGCGCCGTCATCATCTACTGCTGTACTAAATCCAGGATATACATATTCTTAATGAGATAATAAAACGCATTCACCGACAACTTTTTTCTTTTCAAAAAGACAAAATGTCTTTCACATAATTTTCTTAACTTTATCAGTAATATTGAGTTCTAGAAAACCTGTTTCGAATTTTTGTTTGGACTCGATTTTCGTTTCCATTTCTTGTAGTTCGTCTATTTCCTTATCTGAAAAATCTCCGTCTACTAGCAAGTACCGCTCTGGAGCTATGCTCGTCTCTTCTAAAAAATTTCTTCCTCCATTGCTTCATTATTTGATGTAGAACTAGTATGATATTTTTACGTCGTTTAGGCTGATTTTAGAATGAGCAATACTGAGCACTGCAGGTAAACCTTCTTTTTTGTTACGAATTTTAAACTCAGTGGTTTCCTATCTTTATTTATAAAAATTTAATAAAATAATTTTCGACATCAGACGACTTATTTAACACACTTATTTTACAGTTTACCATTTACAGTATTAAACGTTCTAATAGTGAAAAAAAAAAACAAAAAGAGAAATCAAACGATTTCTACCTGACGAAATCGAATTCAAACCTTGACCACCGTGCTTTCTAAAACTTGCAAAGCAAACAGCTTGATAAATAACTCGACAAGGAAATCTAAGATTGCATTTAACATGTCGTTTATCATGGTCAAAATTCGTAGTGAATTCAATTTCTGGTATTCCAAACGGAGTAAAGAAATAAAATATAAAGACGGTACTAGATTTTTGTTTTAATACAGATACGATAATAATGTGATACGAGAAACGATCGTGCGCGAGTAGCGGAGAAATCTTGCATTTTTTACTGCACATTTCATAGATTTCATAAATTCATATTGTCAGTTGTCATATTTCATACTCGTTTGTTTATTTACACCTTCTGTCACTGAAGAAAGTGGGAAATTGGAAATGCTGTGTTATAAATTGTAAAAATACAACAAAAAATTGTCAATTTAAGGTTTATTCGTTTCCAACTTCGAAACACAAATTACTACAAAGAGAAAAGTGGATTTATATCATAAAAAAGCATAAGTAATATAACCTAAATTAGGATTCATTAAGATATATTATATTCGCTGTCCAAAAGTTTACAGGGAAAGAATTAATTGTTCAAACCAATATGATGATATCATGGGCTTAACGTGCTAATTTATGCATTAGCATTATTTATGGTAATTTATTTGTCTTAATTCTTCCACATAATTCTTCCATTCTTTTTTTGACATTTGCCACTACTAAAGCTTTTCCCTTTGACTCAGTGCTTGGTTGAAAAGTTATTTGGTGATTTACTTTCTCAAATCCAGTTTTTATTATTGCATCCATATAAACAGTAATGCTGTAATTTAATAGTATATTTATTTGTATTTACACTACATACAACTTTTACCTTTTAATAACATACCGACATAACCTCAATCTTAGTTTTTCTTCTTATTCTTTTTTGGGACTACGTCCTTGACAGTTATCAGGTAACCTCGATCTAACATGAAAGCGCAGTAAATTTTGCTGATTTACGACACCAGGTGTCGCTGTTCCGAACTTGCACTGTCCCAATTCATATTTCGACCTCTTTAGATCTCGTCTTTAAGATCTCTTTAAGACGGGAAGAGATTTTGTTTTGATCCAGAGAGGTGGCTATACCGCTGGTGGTACCGGTAGTACATGGTACAATATGTGCAGTGGTCCATTCATGGTACAACACCACATTTTGTGAACACAGACTTTAATACTTCGTCACTATCTTCCACACAGACTTCAATACTTTTGTACTTTTTTCATTGTCAATTTTAGAAGTATAGGAAAATGCTATGTACCTACATGAGTTTCTTTATCTTCTGAAATAATCTTGGCCCAAACAGTCTTTGTTAGTTTTTCTTCACCCATAATGACACTAGTTACTTGTAAATAAGTTTATTGATATTAAAATATCCTATATAATAAAACTAATGTTTTTTTTGTTGGGAATGTTATCACGGCGCTTTTATGTGAATACTAATGTACAATAAGGACATGTATATAAGCGAAATTATTAAAATAATTTCAGAGTTTTAAAACTGTATCAATAGGGGTTCAAAATAGTTAAGAGAGATTAATAAAAGAGGTTATATAGACCATAGCTAATTAAGTTTATAAAAGCCTTACGAATATTGTTGTTTTATTCACTCGAGAACTGGTAATCGGCATATAAGCAGGGTTCATAACTGGTTATCACTAAGATAGACGGATAGGGAAAGCACTTTTGTTGCACGAAAGCGGACTAATATCAGAGAGGTGCGAAAAAAGCGTCTATTGTCTACAGAAATCAACAGATAAGATCGAGCGAAAAATACGTCCGGTTGCTAATAGAAAAAAATCAAAGAGAGGTGTGGAAACGTCCGTTTTTTACGGCCACAAGCAGGTAAGAGAGAGCGATTTTTGTTTGCTATACTACAGCAAAGAAATAATGAAATGAATCATAAGCGTGATCTTTTAAATTATCTTATAATTTAGCTGTCCCTATGAGTTTTACCGAGGAGCGTGACAGTAGCGGAGAATTTATTTTTTATTTTGCGTATGCCATATTAAGAACACATGATTAAAAGCAATATTTTTATAAAAAACGTTAAATGGAGTATTAAAAACGTAGATCTAATATATCAATATAATCGAAAACATTTTCGGTCGCCTTTAGGAATTCCATCTTCTTAGTTTTTCGTGCTGTTCTGTCAATATATTACCCTCCTTATCTATTTACTTTTTTTGTTTGAATTCTTTTTTGCTTCCGTTCAGTTTTTGGTAAAATTTTCTTGTCTCTATTGACTTACTTAGATCTTGTAGTTCTTGAAGTTCTTTTTACATATTTCTCACTTCTTTCTGCGGTGGATTTTCCTTTTTTTTCCTTACGTAGTTTCCGTAGTTACGTAGTCTTTCTTACTCCTATGCTTGTCGGGTTCTGTGCCCTGTTGCATCAGTAAATATGTTCTGTTTTGATTCTTTCTGTTATAATCTGAAATTCTTCGTCGAAAGAGTAATTCGTTCTTGTTCTTATTTGTTTACCTTCCATGCCTAGTAATTCTTCAGCTGCTTCTTTAATGATATTTCTACACCCTTCGCATTCTTTATTTATGTTTTCATGTTTTAGTCTGTTTTCTAGTTTGATTTTTATATTTTGTTTATATTATCTATTTTTGTTTGTATTTTGAGTTCTTCTACATTGTATCGTTCATGTTTTTTTTCCTATTTCCTATTTTTATAAGGAACCTAATTTTTTTTTTAATATTCGATTGGTGTTTTGAGTCTACAATCTATCATATTTTTACTGTAAGTCCGTCTGGTAATTTCCAGATGCCTTTGTGTATATCTTTTCCAGCGAAGTTAAAATTATACAATCGATTCCAAAAGACTGCTATAGAATTTTTCATATACAAATGATTACACGTCATTCAAGATTTACGACGTCAGAAACCCACAGCGTTACCAAAACATCAGAATAGTTAGTAAGTGAGGAATTTTTAAAATGTTAACTATTTGTCAAACTTATTATACTACCAGTAAATAAACTTAGTTTTAAGACTACTGCAACACACTAAAATACATAAGAGAACATTTGAATACAAAATTATGTATTCTAAATTTTAAACTTACCTCTTTTAGAGCATTAGTAGTAAAAATGTCCCGCCATTATTTCTTGTTCAAGATAATATATCTTACATGAAAGCTTATCAGCTTTCTACAGACTATTTAGTTGTTTTGGCATAGCACAATCACAATACACAATAATAATTAGTTTTTAAAGCTATTAACCTAAATTTCATATGTATTTATAAATACAATTTATTAATATATAATATGTTATGGTCAAATTGTGTTAAGAAATCAAAACATAAACATAATTCTTACTCTAAAAACACTTTTGCCACACGCTGAACTCTCATTGAAATTTGAAGTATTACTGTATCAGTTGCGTACAATTGTCCAATCTATTTAATTAAAATTATTATTTTGTGGAATATTAGACTTAAAGAGTTATTTCATAAAATTTATAATATTAATACTAACAAATGTTTTTGGTTATAAAAGATCGATCAGTTCCGTATGGGTTTCGTATTATTAGCTGTGTTAGGAAAATTTGAACTCTAAGGTTGACGTTCTGGAAATTTTAAATATAAGTGACGTCACTTTATATGAATTGTGACGTGCAACGTTTTTACTTTGAAAAATGTTAAATGTTTACTTTGTAGATCAGTTCTTCCTTTGATATAATTTTTACATAAATCCTTTGACATAATGCCAAACATTGATTATTTCCATTATTAAATAGACTTCTCGGTTATTTGACACTCAAGAGTATTAAATTATTCTCAGAAATAAACTACGATTTTAATAATTGCGTTTTGTTCTGTTTTCTTCGGTAAACGCAATACATTTGCGTGTATATAAATACGTTTTGGCATATGTTTAGAAGACATTTTGTACATACAGAACAAACGGGCATCTGCTGTTGCTAGTACTCTTTCTATTGACAGACTAAATAATTGAATATCCTTTCGCTCATCCGGTTAGTCAACACATCATTAATGTGAATGAAAATTTATTTTGTAAACTAGATCTACAGTATTATTTTTATTATTATAAACAGAAATATAATATTCTATTGTTACAATGTAAAGTGACCGCCATCAAGGAAACATATTTTCTTTTGCGCCGCCAATGATCGAATTCGTGATGGACACGTGATTTCGGCTACATTTCACAACTTACGGCACGTGATTTCGGATGACTAATTTCATTTAATATTTACCAGACTATAGTTCAAAACTTTCTGTAGGTCTAAAAGGAGTGGGGTCAAAATTAGGTAGGAGGAATTAAGGTGGGAACTAAAGGTTGAATTAGGTAATGATTTTTAATCTTGAGGTTGATAATATAGGATTTCATACAGCGAAAAATATAACGCATTTTTTCACATGTAAAAAATTAAACAACTACTTTTTTTGTATCATACAAAAGTTTCGATCCATTCGATGCTATATTATTTTTAGGAATTATTGAAAACGGGAGACACACTTCTAGAAAATTCTAATAAAATACGTAATAAATAATTAGTTAATTAAGTTAATAGAAAATATATAATAATTTAATAAACTAAAGTAGACAATATATTATAAATTATATTTTTCAGAACGCCGCGATGTGAACTTATGTTTGATAAACTAAAAGAAGAAAACGTTAAAAAGCAAAAGGAGGAAAAAGCACTGGAAATATTTGAAAAAAGTTTAGATATGGATGCGGACGATAGTCAGTCTGATAGTCAAAAAGATGAAGATATCATTAGTATTGTAGAGGAACCAGTAAGGCGTCGTGTCATTCCCACTATACCCACAAAAAGAAGACCTATTGGTAACCGGAATAAACAACAGCAAACAAATAGTAAGCTTTTTAACATTAAATTTTTTTTCTGTTTATTACAGAATATTTAAATGTAGCTTAGTGTTTAAACCAACCTGGTGGTAATATCATCGTTCCTATTCACGGGTTAAAATAACATGACATTCAGATATAGAGAATACACATATAATTATTGAAAAACAGCAGTTATTGTTGCTCATATAATTAACTAACAGCACTACTGTTTCCTGTTTTAAGAATAAATTAATCAAACTAAAACGTAGTAAAGGCTGTTTAGATATTCGACCTACAACACTCTAACCCAGAGAGTTCTTAATAATTCATAAAGTTTAAAAATTTATTACAGATAAAAAAGTCATGAATATTTAATATATATATATATATAATATATATATATATATATATATATATATATAATATATATATATATGATGCCCTCTTATTAATGTAAAAATAATACTTTGCAATCAACAAATTGAAAAAGTAACAAGTGACTTACTATCAGGGTCAATGGAAACATATCCTCCTATTTTTTACGTGCCTGGAGTAAATTTTTAAAATTACCTGTTCTTTTCTTTAAAACAGTGGTTTTATAGAGACATTATGTTAATGTAATCAAATAAAAAGCTATTTGTGGTGTAGTTTCTAAGATCAGTTGTTGCAATTTAATGCAAATAATAATCGACCATTTACTTGTAAATATTTGGCCGCTTACGAATAGAGTGAAAGGAAACTGTGTCTCGTCGGTATACTATACATATTGTGGGAAACTGCTATTTTCACGACACGTTTGTATATACCTGTTTGAAAATTTCATGTGTGTTACATACGCAGTCTTTAGGTTGTACTGTGATAGAAAAAGGACTGGTAGTTGACGTGACGGTTGGAGTACCACAGGGGTCGGTCCTAGGACCCACGCTGTGGAACTTGGCATATCATATGGCGGGGTTATGAGCCAACAATATAGAGAGGATGTAACCCCGTTCGCATTTGCGGACGACCTCGCTATGCTGTTACTGGCGGGAGACAGGGAGGACCTTATCTTTGGTGAACAGCATACATGCGACCAAGTCGAGGAATGAATGAAAATACATGAGCTAGAAATGCCCATGAGCCCAAAACTGAGAGCCCTTCATTCTGTTGTGTAATCAATCGTCCTCTAGGCTGCGCCTGTCTGGAGTAATGCAGTTTTAACAAACACGTACAGAAAACAATTCACTCGAGCAGATAGGAAGAGTCTATTGAGAGCATACAGAACAGTCTCTGCCGAGGCGTTGGGAGTTATCACCGGGTGTATTCAGATACACTTGCTAGTGAAAAAAAGAGGAAGAAGATACGTGAGAAGAAATGAGGACATAGCAACAGAACGTTTAAAAAAGAAGAAAGGGAGAGGTCCATAATGTTATGGCAAGAGAAATGGGACGAGACGGGAAGGGTGGCGCAGTGGACGAAGTGTGGCGCAGATGCTCACAGGACATAGTTCCTTCAGGGCATACCTTTACAGATTTGGAAAGGCAGAAAATGACAAATGCATGTACTGTGAAATATCAGCCAGTCTCACATACTCTATTGGTATACGATAGACGTATAGGTGAGAGGAGCCTGCTTAAGGGAGAGCTAGGAGGTAGGGTGCAATCAGTCACGGAACTGGTGAAAATGTTTAGGTCGTTAGATCGGTGGAGGGCAGTTCAGAGATATGTGAGGAGAACGTTGGAGAGAAAGAAACAAGAAGGCGACCCGAAGGGAGGCAGGGTGCCCAGGAGCAAGCAAGAAGATAAGGCAGAATGAGAAGGGATGAGATTGAACATGACCAGGGAGGAACAGAGGGAGAAAATAATTTAGTCGTAGTGAGAAAGTGCTATAATGCGTGAGAATTGTGCCTGAATGAGAGATCGGGTGAATACCGTGCCGTGCCGATGTTGCGTCCCAATGTGGGTCTCTGGCATTGACGGCGATGGTGTCCGAACATCCCCTGGGCGCGGTCTCGGATATCATTGTGGACACGTTGGAGGAATCCTGCATAACCTAGGCTGGAAGGCGGTTCTACCCACCTTCTAGGACTGAGGTATGTTTCGAACATTTGGACCACCCCCCTTATAAAAGACGAAAAAAAGGTTATACTGTTTTAACACAGAAGAATTTTAAGAAAATTGTGAAGGTACAATATTTGTTCTTTTTAAACTCTTTTATAATCAATAATAATTTCTTTTTTTCTTATAATAAAAAAAAATCGGGACTCTTTTAGTTTTCTTTGAATACTTGTAAAAGTAGAAAGATGTGGAACCCGAATCATTGCTAAATATTAATTGGCATAAACGAGCGGCTATTATCATCATCATCATTATTGGCTCTAACCTAACCTAACCTAACCTAACCTAACCTAACCAATAGTGTGTCTTGATTATCTGAATGGTTATCTGAAGAACTGAGAAGAGACATTTTTAAAGAATATTGGGGACTAGGAAGTTATGAAAAGACGCAATATTTTATAGCAAACTGCATCACGTCAGCCGAAGTTGGAACACGTAAAAAAAGGAAGGAAGTTCAAAGGAAAGAAACATAACTTTTACCTATTTTTTCCACATAAATGGACAGCGGTGTAGGACCTGTAAACAATGTTTCCAATTAACTTTGGATGAAACTGATAAATTTATACAAAGTACCCTGAGAAACAAATCTAATAGTGTAACCGGAATGTACATGCAAGATAAAAGAGGAAAACACACACCTACTAACAAAACTTCTGACGCCAGGTTACAAGAAGTTATTGCTCATATAAATTCATGTCCTAAATATGAGAGCCATTACACGAGGCGGGTCAATAATAAACAGTATCTAAACTCAGATCTCAATTTGACGAAAATGTACCAACTTTACTTAGAGATGTGTCAAAACCCAGTAGGAAGAACTATATATGAAAGAGAATTTCATAAACTTAATCTTAAGTTTAGGGTCCCTAAAACAGACGTCTGTCATACCTGTGAAGAATTAAGTTTGAGAATCGCTGTTACGTGTTGTGTGTAAAGATACGGAAGAACTGAGCCACTTGAAGAACTTGATTACCTCTCAAACAACACACGACCTTGATGCAGACTTACCTTATAAATGTAAGAAGTTGGATAAAGAGAAGGCCAAGCAAGATACCTCATTTGGCTGTTACACTTTTGATCTTCAGCAGTGCCTGCCAACGCCGTTTTTGGAAACTTCTGTTTCTTTTTATAAGAGAAAGTACTGGACTTACAATTTAACTGTACATACCTGTGCTTCAGGAGAAGCTTCCTGTTATATCTGGCATGAATCAATCGCTCACTGTGGTGCAAATGAGATTGCTTCTTTTCTTTTCAAGGAAATAATGGACCTGTCACCTGAAGTCACTAAAAAGACATGTTAGTTCATGAACTGACATGAACAAATAATGTTCATGTCAGTCATGCAAATGAAAAGCTCAATAAATGAGATCAACCATAAATTTATGACCTCTGGGCATTCACACATGGAATGCGATGTTGACCATTCCCTTATTGAAAAACAGAAAAAAAATCGGGAATAAAAATTGCTCATCCTCGTGATTGGGCAACTCTCATTAGATGCACAAACAAAAAACGTCCATTTAAGGTCAATGAATTAACTTCAGATGATTTCTATGGTTTTGCTGCTTTATTAAGGACAACGTTTGTAAAAAAGCAAAAAAATGTTGATGGAGAGTTGTTCAAATTGCAGAAATGTCGTTGGCTGCAATACAGAAAAAAATATGCTACAATATTTTATAAGAGTTCTCTGGAAGAGTCAAAAAATTTTTTGGAAATTAATTTTACTAGGAGAGGTCGACAAAGTGCAATAGAACTAAAGAAAAAGTATGATGGGTTAATACCTATAGCTGTTGAAAAATAGCAACATCTTCTAGATCTCTTACCGCTCGTACCAGAAGTATACAAATTTTTTTATCAAGAACTGCCAACTACAAGTATGAACGATAAGGACCCAGATTTAGAGGAGTTTGTTTCTGAATAACTTTATCATAATTATATTATAATTTAAAAACTAAATAGTACTGTTATTAAAATGTAAACTTGTGTATTTAATATGATTAAAATATCTGGTCAAAAAAACTTAAGTATTTTATTCTGTGATCCAAAGGACTTAAGTCAGATCAAACTTTATTATTTTACAATATTTCATATTAAACCCTAGTATGTATTGTAAATAAGCTATTTTGACCGATATGTGCTGACAAAATATTTAATTAGGATAAAAATAGATTTAGCATGTTTCATCAAATCTTTAAAAAAATTTCTGCTATATTCCATTTACTGACTAAGTCCTTTTGCCCTAACACTATATATATATATAATATATATATATATATATATATATATATATATTTATGATGTGTTGTTTCCGTATGAGCTATGAGTAAACTTCAATGATATATGTAAGTACAGGGTTTTTATCGCGGTTCTCAAAGAATTAGTTTGTAAGTACTTTTTTAAATTATCTTTATTATAACTATTATGAAACAAACATATCTATCTAATATAGGCAATATCAATTATTTAAAACAATCTATCTAAAATTTGAAATTCTTACAATTTTAATCATTAACAAAATTTGGTACCTTTCTATCACTGAACGCCTAAAGTTTTTCCCAAATTAAAGTTATTATCACCACTCGATATCTTCTTACTCAGCCTTTGTTATCCAACAATTTTCATATGTTTCTTCTTAATTATCTCCACTCACCATATAAATATATAAATTTAAATCCTTGTAATTTACATATAATGTACTTTCAAATATACTGTATCTTATGGTTGTATTATTGAATGCTTACTTCAATGAATTAACTTCATACTATCACTATATTACTGTAGTAATAATTAATCTCCAACTGTATTTGACTTAATTAATTCATTTAACTTAATCAATGCCTTCTTCTAGCTAATAATCTCTTCATAACCTCATAAATTCTTCTTCATTCTTGTTTATAATTAATAATCTAATGTAACTGACTTAATATTAAT